CCAACAACAGGGCAGAGAGGCCGAGGCCTTCATAAGAACATAAGAAGAGCAATGCTGGATCAGACCAGTGAGGGTCCATCTAGTCCAGCATCCTGTCTCACACAGGGGCCAACCAGTTTCTCTAGACGGTCAACGACAGGGCAGAGAGGCCGAGGCCTTCCTAAGAACCTCAGAAGAGTTCTGCTGAATCAGACCTGTGGTCTGTCTAGTCCAGCCTCCTGTCTCACACAGGGGCCAACCAGTTCCTCTGGAGGGCCAGCAACAGGGCAGAGAGGCCGAGGCCTTCATAAGAACATAAGAAGAGCAATGCTGGATCAGACCAGTGAGGGTCCATCTAGTCCAGCATCCTGTCTCACACAGGGGCCAACCAGTTTCTCTAGACGGTCAACGACAGGGCAGAGAGGCCGAGGCCTTCCTAAGAACCTCAGAAGAGTTCTGCTGAATCAGACCTGTGGTCTGTCTAGTCCAGCCTCCTGTCTCACACAGGGGCCAACCAGTTCCTCTAGACGGCCAACGACAGGGCAGAGAGGCCGAGGCCTTCCTAAGAACATAAGAAGAGTTCTGCTGAATCAGACCAGTGGTCTGTCTAGTGCAGCCTCCTGTCTCACAGAGGGGCCAACCAGTTCCTCTGGAGGGCCAACAACAGGACAGAGAGGCTGAGGCCTTCAAAAAACATAAGAAGAGCCCTTCTGGATCAGACCAGTGGTCCTTCTAGTCCAGCATCCCGTCTCACACAGTGGCCACCTAGTTCCTCCGGAGGGCCAGCCACAGGGCATAGAGGCTGAGGCCTTCCCTGATGTTGCCTACTGGCTCCAAGATTCAGTAGTTTAGTGCCTCTGAATGTGGAGGTTCCCCTCAGTCACCTTGGGCTGTAGCCATTGATAGACTTAACCTCCATGAATCTATCTAATCCCCTTTTAAAGCTGTCTATTCCTGTGGTCATCTCTACACCCTCTGGCAGCGAATGCCACATTTTAATCACTCTCTGGGGTAGCCTGAGGCATAGATGGCTGCAAAAGGGAACCTCTATGTTCAGAGGCAGTCAACCTCTAAATTCCAGTGCCAGGAGGCAGCATCAGGGAACGGTCTTGGCCTCTGTGCCGTGCTATTGGACCACCAGAGGAACTGGTTGGCTGCTGTGTGAAACAGGATGCTGGACTAGACAGACCACTAGTCTTATTTAGCAAGGTTGTTGGGAATTAGATAAGCATATGGAGCAGAGGTCCATCAGTGGCTATTAGCCACAAGGTATAGATAGGGGCTCTGGGGCAAGTGGTGTGTCTTCTTGGTGCTTGGGGGTGGTCAACAGTGGGAGGGCTTCTAATGTCCTGGCCCCACTGGTGGACCTCCTGATGGCACTGGTATTTCTGGCCACTGTGTGACACAGTGTGTTGGACTGGATGGGTCTTTGGCCTGATCCAACATTGGCGTCTCTTATGTTCTTATGTTCATCCCTTAATACACCCACCCACCCATATTTCTCCCAACATTTCCCAGAACTCAAGCCTTGAAAGGAAGGGGAGGTTAAGGGTCAAAAGGGAGGTTAAGGGTCAAAACGGCTTTCTACTAGTCCCTTCCCAACACGATTGGCTCCTTGGTTATGGTGTCACAGAACCTCCACAAACGTCCTAACTAACAATGGTGAAGGACTAGTGAGCAATGCTTCCCCTAAGCTGTGGAGTCCTGTGAGCAAAAATTCTACTTGGTGAGCTCCTGGCATTAAAGTGGTGAGCGAGCGATTTGGCTACTGCATAACTTAGTCTGCTCTGGAGCCCTCCTTCCTGAGCTAAGAGAAAAATGGGTGAGCTGGAGGCTAAAAAACTGTGAGCTAGCTCACGCCAACTCAGCTTTGAGGGAACAGTGCTAGCGAGGGAAGGTTGAAACTGTGCCCCTGTTTGGTTAAAAGTAGAGCTTTGAGTTGGGGGTGAGTAAGGTCCCCCACAGACTGGTCAAGATATGCGTAAGCTGTAGAATGTGGAGTCTAAGAGGTAAGACGCAGAATGAAGAGGAGAGAGAAGAAGAGATTGGATTTATGCCCCGCCCTTCACTACCCAAAGGAGTCTCAGAGCGGCTTACAAACTCCTTTCCCCTCCCCTCCCCACAACAGACACCCTGTGAGGTCGGTGAAGTTGGGGGAGTTCTGACAGAAACGGCTCTTTTTCAAGGACAGCTCTTATCAGAACTATGTCTTAGAAGAAGAAGATTGGATTTCTACCCCGCCCTTCACTACCCAAAGGCGTCTCAGAGGGGCTCACAAACTCCTTTCCCTTCCCCTCCCCGCAACAGACACCCTGTGAGGTCAGTGGGGCTGAGAGAGCTCTTTCGAGGACTGCTCTTGAGAGAACAGCTGTGACAACTATGGCTTGCCCAAGGTCGTCCAGCAGCTGCAAGTGGAGGAGTGGCGAATCAAACCCGGTTCTCCCAGATCAGAGTCCGCGCACTTATCCACGACACAAAGCTCTGTGCAGCTTTGTGGAGAGCTGACGGGGAAGGGGACGACATGGGGGACTGAAGTGGGTATTGAGTGAGTTCAGCTGCTTCCATTCTGCGGCGTTTGCTTATCTTCCACCGCCTCTCAAGTGCGGCTGCCCACGCCTTCCCTCCTCTCCCGCAGGTCTTCGGCACCAACGTGATGGTGACGGTTGCCAAGTCATTCGAGGCGCCCATAAAACGTGAGTAGGGCTTGGCTCAGGGGCTCTGGCCGCAGAAGGACAAGCGTGGCTTCGGCAACTGGGGAGGAAACCAGCCGCCATATTTCCTTGCAGCACCTTGTAAAGCTTGGAGGGCTGGTCAGAGGAGCCTCTTTTCACAGGGGCTGCACTCAAGCAGGATGAAGCCCGAAGAAGGCGGCAGTGCCCAGTTCCTCCCTGGACTCCAGCAGTTGCATTTTAACCGGCTGGCTGCTGTGGGAGTCTGGTATGGAAAAATATATACAGATGTGTGCGAGATGCCAACAGAACAACACAATAACAAGAGAAACTACATTAAAGCCATGACTTCATTTAGTGTCTGGTAATGAAAAACAGCGGCCACGGTGGCTCAAGGGGTTAAGACTCTGAACTTCAGGCTGTGGAAGGTCAGTAGTTCAGCAGTTCGAGACCCGGGTTGCCGCATGACGGCGTGAGCTCCCGTCTCTAGTTCCAGCTCCTGCCAACCTAGCAGTTTGAAAGCAAGAAACTGCAAGTAGATAAATAGGTACCACTTCAGTGGGAAGGTAACAGCATTCCGTGCGCCTTGGTGTTTACTCATGCCGGCCACATGACCACGGAAACGTCTTCGGACAGCGCTGGCTCTTCGGCTTGGAAACGGAGATGAGCACCGCAACCCTAGAGTCGGACTCGACTGGCTTTCGAGCAAGGGAACCTTTACCTTTAATGAAAAACAGGGGCCATGGTGGCTCAAGTGGTTAAGACGCTGAGATGCAGCCCGGAAGGTCGGTAGCTCAGCAGTTCGAGACTCGAGTGCCACGCGATGGAGTGAGCGCCCGTCTGTGGCCCCAGCTCTTGCCCACCTAGCAGTTCGAAAGCAAGAAGTGGCAAGTAGATAAATGGGTCCCGCGCCGATGGGACGGTAACAGCGTTCCGTGCGCCTCGGCATCTAGTCATGCCGGCCACATGACCACGGAGAAGTCTTCGGACAGCGCTGGCTCTTCGGCTTGGAAACAGAGATGAGCGCCACATCCCTAGAGTCGGATTCGACTGGCTTTCGAGCAAGGGAAACCTTTACCTTTACCTAATGAAAAACAACCCCTCCTTCCTTCACAGAAAAAATGCAAAGGTCATTAAAATTACAGATAGCAGTCTGCTCCAGACTCTCTCAGTCTCGTATTCTCAAAAGCAGTCTGCTCCAAATTCAATCTCTCTTTCAACACTGTTTTTGAGAACACAAGACTGTTAGAAGGATATAGACTGAGAGAGTCTGGAGCAGGCTGCTGTGTGTAATTTTATTGACCTTTGTATTTTTTCTGTGAAGGAATAAGGGGTTTTTTTTCATTAAAAAGTAAAGTAAAGGTTCCCTTGCTCGAAAGCCAGTCGAGTCCGACTCTAGGGTTGTGGTGCTCATCTCCGTTTCAAAGCCGAAGAGCCAGCGCTGTCCGAAGACGTTTCCGTGGTCATGTGGTCGGCATGACTAAACACCGAGGCGCACGGAACGCTGTTACCTTCCCACCGAAGTGGTACCTATTTATCTACTTGCAATGTCTTGCTTTCGAAACTGCTAGGTTGGCAGGAGCTGGAACTAGAGACAGGAGCTCACTCCATCATGAGGCTCACTCGGGTCTCAAACTGCTGAACTACTGACCTTCCTCAGCCTGCAGCTCAGCGTCTTAACCACTTGAGCCACCGCAGCTCCTTTTTCATTACTGGACACTAAATGATGTTATGGCTCTAATCTAGTATCTCTTGTTATTGTATTGTTCTGTGGGCATCTGGCACACATCTGTATACATTTTTTCATACCAGACTGTCTTGGGATTGTGCGTCATTCATGTGGACTGGCTGCTGTGGGAGACGGGGATGCCGGACGAGACGGACCCCCAGTCTGATCCGGCAAGGCTGTTCTGATGGTCTTATGCTATTACAATGCGGGGGATGAAATACATGGTGTGTGTTTGATTCATCACCCCCTGTCATAGGTGCTCGGAGAGAGAGAGAGAGGATAGAAATGTGCTCGATTCCTTGTAACCTTTTGCATTCCCCGTGAATAGAGGACACGCCTTTCATGGTCTCACCCCTTTCTCCTTTTGCTTCCCCCCCCCCTTAGTGGTTTTCCCCCAAGACCTGCTGGAGAAAGGCTTGGAGGCCAATAACTTTGCCATGCTGGGCCTGGGAGACATCGTCATTCCAGGTAAGGGGGGCCCAGGAGGGGTTGCTTCCAGTGTTCCCTCTAAGCTGAGTGAGTGTGAGCTAGCTCACAGTTTTTTTAGCCTCCGGCTCACACATTTCTTGTCTCAGCTCAGGCAGGATAGCTCCAGAGCAGTGTTCCCTCTAAGCTGAGTGAGTGTGAGCTAGCTCACAGTTTTTTTAGCCTCCGGCTCACACATTTCTGTCTCAGCTCAGGCAAGATGGCTCCAGAGCAGTGTTCCCTCTAAGCTGAGTGAGTGTGAGCTAGCTCACAGTTTTTTTAGCCTCCGGCTCACACATTTTTGTCTCTGCTCAGGAAGGAGGGCTCCACAGCAAACTAATTTAGGCAGCAGCCAAATCACTTGCTCACAACTTTTAATGCCGGTAGCTCACAAAGTAGGATTTTTGCTCTCAAGACTCCACAGCTTAGAGGGAGCATTGCTCCAGAGCAAACTAATTGATGCAGCAGCCAAATCGCTCGCTCGCAACTTGAATGGCGGTAGCTCACGAAGTAGGATTTTTGCTCACAAGACTCCACAGCGTAGAGGGAGCGTTGGTTGCTTCTCTTCAGGGAGAGGGGCTGACTTTCAGAGACAGGCTGAGTCTCATAGGCTCGAAAGGAGGGGGGGGACCAGGTTCCGAAAGGGAGGCAGCTGCCACCGCTTTCCTCTCCCCCCGGCTGCCTCTCCCCCCCCC